AACACTGTCCCCAGTATAGTGATTTTTTATAAATATTTTTGTGTGGTTTAAATTTAATGTAATATACTTTGCTGTAATTAAAAATGCAAATCGCGTAAGTTTATTTAAATTAAAAATATTTTCTGAATATTTTGGGACGAAATACGAATAAAATAAGTATAAAAGGGAAACGAATGATTGGTACCAAAGTCAAAAAGACCAAACCCCCCTCCCATTAACATAAAAAAAAAAAAAAAAAAGGACACGTGCCAGAGGAAAAGAAACTAAATAACGCTGGACATATACCAGCGAAATTTAGATCTAATCAGTGTGCAGTTTGTAGCACAAGGAAGAAACATCATAGAAGAAGATACATGTGCGAAATGTGCAATGTGGGTCTATGCATGTACCAAAAAGACAAAACATGCTTTGAACTGTGACAAAAAATATTTGTTCTAAAATTAAAAAAGAAAAAAAAAAAAAAAAAAAAAAAAATGAGTCCTTTTGTATCCTATTTTATGATGTTTTTATCCTTACTTTTTAATCCTGTAGCAAAACTCCTTATATGTAGGTACTCATTCATGCTATAGAAAAAATACATAAAATGTTTTATTTTTTAATTTTTCGATGATTTACTTTTAAAATATTGTAAAAAAATATATATTATGCAATTCCTACATGCATTTTTTTAAAATTCGTAAATTTCACCATTTATTGGAAACGCGCACGGAAAAAGGAAAGTTTTTTTTTTTTTCCTACTATCCTAGGTAAGTTTCAATTTCTAGAGTTTTTAGTTAAAAAAATTATAAAAATAATATCGCGCGCATCAAAGGGTTAAAATATATCAGAGTAAACATATACATATACAGAAAACTGGTATCAAAAATTTCAGATGAAGGAATGAAATGATGATTAATGCTTATTTTGGAGTGACTGCTCAATGCTTGTTTAAAATGGATCAAATAACAGTGAAGTTTTAATTGCTAAGTTGTATGAGAAGAAAAGATAATCCAGCTTGCTTGAAGGACGGTTGTGGTCTCTGTGTGTAAATAAAGCATTTTAAAGCACTCTAGTCTAGTTCTGACCTGAGACCGTGATTCAAAGCAGAGCAGTATATTTAGAATTCAGAGTAGCATTACCATTTAGTCAATATCATTGTTAACTAATAGTCAGCTCGTTTAAAGGAAAAAAAGAATATGAAAAAGTTAAAAATTTAATGATTGCCCCAAAAGGCTGTTTTTAAAGTTTAAAAAGATTTATCAGAGCAATTTATCAGTGGAGATGGCATATAAGTTCTGATGTTTTTTAAGTGGAAATTTTTCACGAAAAATGAAATGTTTTGGCAATGTGCATTATGTTATTTTATAGAGAATAAAGCAGTGTGTTTAGTTTTTTATGCTGATATACATTTCCCCCCCCCTCATGTCATTAAAGTGAAGTGTGAATAAGACAAGAAAAAGCTTTTTCAACAAATTTCTGCTTTTTGCACTTTATCGAGCTTCTAAATCACAGAAGCTGCTGTGTCTCTTAGGGTGGCTCAAAATTGGTTTAGGCTGTTCAAAGAGTGTGAATTCTATCTTTGAGGCATTGAACAGCTAGTTAAATGTTGGGAGGAAGTTGTTAAGACTAACAGAGAATACATTATTGATTGATTTGTTGTTTGTTCATTTCTTGCGTATTTTTGTAGAAACTTAAAAGCCCACCCAGTAGATGAATATACCTTTAGACTAAGATGAAAATGTTAGTTATCATAGTAATCTTAAGAACTGCATCTATTGCATTCAAATAGTTTGTTAATCAGTTACAGACAGATTGAATTTCAAAGCTAAATATGTTACATTTTGTCCAGTGACAACAGATCGAATGAAAAGTGAATAATGCGCTTGGAAAGTATTAGTTACATATTTGACGACATATAAAACATACCCTTATTTAGACGGCCACACACAAGGAAAAAAAGTTTCAATAGTGGGGTTTCTTTTGGTTCTCACGTTTCGTAAAAGCCAAATACACAATTATTGAATGCAATACCTTCATGTATAAGATGCAGGTAACTTTTTTGAGACCAAATTTAGGAAAAAAAATGTGCGTCTTATATGCCATCAAATATGGTATTTTGGGCTAAAACTTTGAACTAATTGTATTCTGTAGACATAATCCGGAGAAACGCCGCCAGCGTTCGTTTAAAACTTAAATTTCAGCGAGTGCGGCGTTTCTACCCTGGGATTAGGTGCACTAAAAATTAAAATTTTCTATGATGGTCATTGTACATAGGTGGAGGCCTTGTCATTGTGCATAGAATGGTGCTGTTCCCCACGAAAGACCAGTCGTTGCATTTTGCAACTTTATTTTGTTTACATTCTTTCCTTGAACAACCACAGCCTTACTCACCCGAAAGGAGATCTCAGAACACTAAATTTCCCTTTCAATCAACATTCTCATCAGTTTGAATAGTCTCTCTCCTCACCAGTCCATGAATCTCAGGACCTCCTGGATAGTTTTAAGTAAGACGGGAATTTAGGCACAGAACATACCGCTAGTTTAGCTTCATGTATTTCATGTGCTAAACAAATGGAAATCGCAGAGTTTGAAGTGGACGACAGAGTAGCGACGTTGGCAAACTGAAAAGAACTAAAAATGCCACACAGACGAGCCAAAGAAGTGTACTGTAGGGGCCAATTAGAGAACGACCTTGCAACTGAATAAAGGCAGCGGAAAGGAAGGCAATTTCAACTGTAAAAACGTTACAAGCAAAATTTATAGCAAACGCAATGAACATAAATGATTTCAAGGAGGTATAGCGATTATGAAAAGAAAAAATATTTATGCGTCTAGAAACAACGTTGGGCAACAATTACAATGGACTGGCAGGATAAAAAGTTCATTTTCTAAATATGGACAGCTATATTGACAAAAAAAGACTCGGTCACAGATAATAAATATGGATGAAACCCGTAGCTTTCGACTCTCTGCAACAGAACTTGATGAAACTGGTGCAAAAATGTATCTTGTTTATGACGGGGCATGAAAGACGTCATTTACATGTTGTTGCTTGGCCGCAAACGGTGACAAGTAACGCCGATGATAATTTTAAACGAAAACTTTTCCGAAGGGAGATTTCCTAATGACGTAATTATTTGGTGCAACGAGAACAGCTAGATGTGAAAAAATACGCTGAGTGGCTACCAAAAGTTTGCAGTGTCGTAGGGTCTTGTCCAACCAAAGGGGTTATGATATTGGTTCCAGCATGATCTCTTGATCAGTGAAACAGATGTCAAAAATGTCTACGACGAAGCAATAAGTCCTGGTGTTGACAAAATCTTAAACCGTTAGATTTGTCAGGTAATAAATCCTTCAAAGTGAAATCCGAAGCGGTGGAGTGTTGGGATGAGTGAAAAGAATGCATACGTAACAAAGCGGGTAAATGTGTAGAGCATCTTATGAAGAAATTGCAAAGTGGGCAGGAAGTGCATGGAATCGTAGAACATAGTCAATAATGAGGGTTCAAGATGCTGAATTTATCCTTAGATAAGGGATGTAAACAAGGATGAATGCGACTACGGAAGACTTAGACAGGAGTACTAAATCTTTTAATTCAGATAGGAGATCAGATTTGATGGCTTATATGGTATAGTTTGCTGTATAATTGTAAGGAAATTTAAATTTCCTTTTGTCATCCAAATGTATATATGTTGTTGCAACATTTTTTAATATGTCTGAGTTTACAATGGACTTCTTAGGGGTAAATATAAGTATATCCGTGAAGGTAACTATTTCCACATTCTTACCGTTAATTATTTTGAGTATGGTTTAATTTCATGCATTTTTCTTAACTGGTATGTCATATGTCAGGACTTAGGTTGAGTTTTTGCATCTATACAGCCCTTGACGATGTCACGCGCATTTTAATCTATTGCGGCGTGTCTGTGTAATTTTAATTTTTTTCCCGCCGTTTTTCTCGAGTGCAGTGTTTGCGCTGATGCAGCCTTTCTTCCGGAAATTACGGTAATACGCTGAAATACATTTTCTGTATCACCATGCTTTTATTTGGTCATATTTTAAACATTTGAAATGTGAAATTTATCAAAATTTAAAATCTTGAAATTAACATAATTGTTTTTCTGAGAAGTGATTCCGTTTCCTTCGGATAGTTCAAAGGTTTCATATATGAGCTATTTTTCTCCAATGCCTTGCCTGCAGCTCTAAGAGAAAAATGATACAGGGTTGCCAACCACTCGAGTAAAACCAGCACTCCTGCTTTTATCGTCATCTCCAGGGCTTTTGATAAATTTCCAAATCTGACAGTTTTTTTATTTAATCCAGTTTTAAATTGTCTATTTAATTCTAGATTTAGAGGAACAATTAGTCACTCGATGTTGAAGAAAAAAGAAATATTAAAAAAAAAATTCCCCATCTGTTTTCAAATCCCCCCCCCAAAAAATATGATTTTTCAATGAAATTTTTCTGTTTGCATTTGAGAGATTTGTAAAATATTTGAAGTCTTAAGTAATATTTCATATGTAAATAATAATATTTAATGTAATTAATACTTAAATGTACATAACATTAAAGTTGCATTAATGCACATGTAAGGATTTTAAATAGCACTTGCTTTACATATTAAATTTTTTTTAATATCTAGCATTTAAATAGATAAAATATGTTGTTTCTATTTGAATTTTGATCTGTATAGGATTTTTAAAGAAAGTACAGAATTAAAGCTATCCAAAAATATATATTAAAATTTTAAATAACAAATCAGATATTTATAAAGTTAATCTGTTTAATCTTAGAAATCATCATGTTATAACTAGCTTTTTAATCCAAGCTATGTATTATAAAGGTTTTAGTCAGATTATTCAATCTGAAATTGTTTTGAAGGTATGTCAGTGCTTGGTATGAAAAACCTCTTTGTTTTTTATATTTTTAAGGCTGGCAGCTGTGATGATACATTCAAGAAATTGAAACTGCTTTAAATGGATAATTTTTAGTATTAAATTTCTAAATCATTTCTGTTTCAGCTTTGTTAAATATACCTGCTGCACAGTTCAAGCTGGTTTTGGATTCTATTGTATGGGCTTTCAAACATACTATGAGGAATGTTGCTGATACTGGTATGTCTGTTTCTTTTTTATTTAGATAAAATTGTATCATGTAATTTCTAACTCTAAAATTTAAATAAAAAGAAAGAGATCTCCCCCACACACACACTTTTAAATTCCTCTCAATCTCTAAATGTTTGCCTTTCCAATATGTATATGTATGTGGTTGAGAAATTTCATTGGACATGGTCATGACCTTGTGCTTACATATGATAAATTAATAAGCGATGCATCAAGATAATAAACATTGCTAATAGTTCTGCATCAGTTACATATAAGTAATAATACATTGTCTTATATTTTAATATTAATTTTTCATAGTTTTAAATTCCATTTGCATCTTCTGTCAGTAAAAAAACAATAAATTTTAAGTTATTTATTTTGAATCATTTTGCTAAGTATTTAATATTTTTCACAAAACTGAAATAACTATAATTTTGAAGGGATGAAACTAGTGCAAATTCAGCAAGTTAAAAATAAACATCATATGAACTCTAAATAAAATTAAAAGCAAATTTTATCCCTTTATTAACAGATTTTCATATAAAACACAATTACTTTTCATCCTTTTATGTAGGAAATTATCCTCAAGGTATCGTAAACTCATTTCTCAGCAATTTGAATTGTAATACCAATTAATAATTCAGATAACTGCCAATTGTTATGTATTTTTCATAATTTTGACAAAAAATTTTATTTTAATATTCATCATACATGTAAAATTAATGTTTTACAATTTTTTCAATTTTCATAAAGGCAACAAAATTGAACCGTTCTGGCTACTTGCCACATCCGTAAAAGAGTTGGTATGTAAGTCAGCAACATCTGTAAAAGAGTATAGGCATGTATTCAGGTTATGATTGAATTCATCCTTTTATTGTATCTGGTTGCAATGAAAGTTTTCTGCATTTTTTCCTGTGAAACCCAAAAACATTCATAATAAAGAAAGGGGGGGAACATGAAAGCAGTATCTTTGATGTAGGATGTAATTACCACTCAAATCTGATTTTCTGCTAACATTTTAGTTGTTTTTGAAATCTTTTGTCCCAGAAACTTTGTGGCCGCGAGTCCAAAATCAGATCAACCTCATTGCAGACGTCCTGTGCAGAATGGAAGGGAGCAGAAAAGGTTCCATTTGAGCCTGTACAAAGGCTAACTGGTGTATGTAGGCACATATGGTCTTTCTTTTTTTTTTTTTTTTTTTTTGATTGATTGATTTGATTTGATTGATTCATTACCTTTTTGCCCCAGAACTCAGTTTGACATTTTTTTGTAGCACTGTTATGGTGGTCCGAATTTTGTCTTGCGTTGTTTCGAGCAGATAGTGGGGCCCGAACAGTGTGCTTTCTGATGAGTCACTCATGGTGCCCACCAGTGATGATGTTTGCACAAGTTTATGTGATGCATAGGTTGACTAATGAAATGGCACTAGCATTTAATTCCTTAGAAGCTCAAGTGGTCGCTATGATCTTCAACGAGTTCTCGCTGGCAGGCTCATAACATCAGTTGGCCGCCCAGAACATACTTTCGTACCAACCTAACGTGTTATATGCTACGCATAGTATTAAGCTGTACACATGATTGGGCAAGAAACTTGAGTAAATGAGGGTTCTAATCTGGTAGTATGATAGTTCCATTTCAGACATTTTGTACTCAATGATAACAATATTTTTTTACAAATTTCACAAAACAGTGTTGTAAAGCAAGTCTCTTTCTTTCAAATGCCAAAAATCATTTGACAAAATATGATTAAACATGCCGGCACGAACTGTTTGCACAGACTATATTTGTATTGGACGGAAACTTTCATTAAAGCTCAATATTTAAAACACTTTTGGAATTTTGTTGGGAGTTGTCGAAATTGGTGATGTGTAATGCATACCTGCCAACTTTTACGAATTTTTTGTAATTTTTACGAAAATGCGTTGTCTACGATTGTAATCCATTTTTATGATTTTTCCTTTTTCAAGTGTTTTAGTGATTTTTGTCGAAATTTTAGAATTTTTCGCCAATTGCATCGTGTTTTACCGAACTTCGAATCAGTAACCTGCAGTTTCTCCCAACTCGCTGCTTAACCAGCCAATCCAATACGCTGAACTTGTTTCTCCCACTCTTTTCTTTGTGGGCGCCAGATTATTTTTTTTGCGTTCGTTTCAGCAGCAAGGGAATGGATCAGCAAGCATGGATTGTCGCATTCTGTTTTTTTATTTATTTATTTATTATTTTTTATTCTTCCCTTCCACGTGCTACAAATTTTCAATACGTCGGTGTTACGAAATTAGTTAAAAAAAACGTATTCTCAATATTTTCGTCCTGCCTACAAAGCCGAATTCCACAATTAAAGAATCCTTCAAAGGAAATAACTATGCATTTGCACGTGTGCGTGGTGACTTCATAATAAGTCACTTGGAAAGAAGAAGCGACATTGTGAAGCATGTTAGTCTAAAAAGCATGAAGTTAATGCTTCGGCTTCGACAACGTCAAAGAAAGTGGAAGTTTTTTTTTTTTTTTTTTTCCCAAATTCGGCTACGAATCGGATCCGATGTCATTTTAGCAGAGTGTTTGTTTTACTGCATTCCTCATCGAACACAAGTGCCGCTAAGCGCTGCAGATCACGCCGCTCAACTTTTCAGGCGGATGTTTCCCGACTCCAAGATTGCTCAAAATATGCTGTGCTCGCACGAAAACATCTTCATTGTGAACAAAATTGCTTGCGATGCACAAAGTTAAAACGATAGCTGCACTCCAGAATTCAGCATTTTCGGTGTCAATCGATGGCAGCAAGCAACGACAGCGATTGGAAGCTTTACCCCATCGTTGTCACATTTCTGTGATGTTTTCTAATGAAATGAAAACTCAGCTTTTGCGTCTTCCATTGTTAAATGGAGGAACGGGAAAATATTGCCTCCTTGGTAATTAATGAGTTGAAAACAACTTAACATACCAATATCAAACTGCTTTCATTTGGGGCAGATAATGTTCATGTCATGGTGGGTGACAAAAAGGATGTAGCCTCTTTCTTCAAAAAAGAACAAAATAATTTATTGTTATGGATGCCCATGCCACTTAATTAATTTGGCAGCAGAAAGAAAAAGCGCCGTGCTTTACCATTAAATATTGACCAGCTTCTGATTGATGTGTTTTCTATCTGGAAAAAAGTGTAAAAAGGAAAGAAAACCTTAAGAATTTCCAAGAACTGTGCTCTGGTGAAACGAGAAAAAATCTGAAACATGTATGCACAAGATGGTTATCCTTAGGCAGAGCACTAGGAAGGTTTATTGAACAGTGGGATGCATTGCTAAAATATTTCCACGAAGAGACCAAAACAAAACCACAGATCCCATCAAATTTGTCGGCATATAAGGATTCCGAAAAACCAACTTTGCTTTGATTCAAAATGCTTTAAAAGGGAAAAGCCAACTCGCAGAATCAAACCTTTAAAAAGAAATGCTTAGAAGACTCCTCAAAGGTCAACTCTGTTAAAGAAGTTGAAGGGAGAAGAAACAGTCTTCTATTAGCCGGGAGGAAAGGATTTTCTATCTTCTTTCCGATTTGAAACAAAACATATTGTAGTTTTGTGTTAAGTACCATTAGGATTTTTGAAGAGTAAATACCCTTTACATCAGCTTTGCCAAAATCTCCCCTGCTATCCAAATTCTTAATGATCTTTTGAAAGAACTTTATACTAAGTTTGTAAAACCATCCGTAGTGAAAAACAGTGTGTTGATTCGTGTTGCCTAATAGCTTTTCCTCAGCCTGTGATTACATTGTGAGAAGTTTCCTTTGCAAATGAAGTTCTTTTAAATGCTGAAGTTTCAATTGAAAACAAATTAAAATTCACTTTGAAAAGATTCCTTTTTTATTGATAAATTTCCATTTTTTTAACAATTAAAGAAAATGAATGCCATAATGATGCTTTAGATGAATACAGAACCAATTTTCTGCTGCACAGTTTGTGAAGACTGCCATTCTAGAGAAGAGAGACTTGATGTCCTCGTTGGTACCTTAAAAAGAATAAAAAAGAACTGATGGAGCACCAAAATATGATAGACTAGCAGAGTTTTATGTGCTAATCTCGTAATTCCACACAGTAAATGCTGAGTGCGAGAGAGTCTTCATGTTGTGAAGAAAACAAAACTATGTTTCGTTCTTCAATTTCACCAAAAACTCTAGAAAACATTTTAATTGCTAAATGTTATGAGGAAACTAATTGTTATGACAGGAAATTTTCCAGAGAATTTTTTGGCTAAAGCCAAAAAAATGCACTCTAAATCATTGCAATAATTTTTTTGTGTAACATTAAGTTCTTGTTTTATGTTTCCTAATTTTTTTTTAGTTACTACTTAATTGAGATTTACTAATGTAAGTACAATTTTCTTTTTTTATTTGTATAATTGTTATTTTTTTAATATCAAAGCATGATATTAATTCTTCATGTTCTTCTGAATTTTGGAAAAACCTTCTGAATTTTTATCTTTAGAGGTTGGCAGGTATGGTAATAAAACATACCAGTTTTTCCTGAAAACATTTTGATTATTTTAAGATAAATTAGTTTATATAAGTTTTAGCTTCTGTAATTTGAAAATATCATGACAATTTTTTAACATATATAATAATTTTGTTATAATGTCATCAAAATGACTTTTCAGGAGTAAATTTACAGAGATAAACTATGAATGTATGTAATCCATATATATATTTGGATGTATACAAATGGAACTATTTCAGAAAAGGCAACGTGGTGGGAAATTTATCAGCAGTTTTTGTTAGACATATATGCAAATGAATTTAACAAAAGTACTCTGTAACATTTTGCTTAAGTAAGTGCATTTATTTTATTGGTGAAGTTATTTAGCTTTGCACATATGGTCGTGCTTCCCCATATGGTTGGGGTCATAAGTAACGTTTTAAATAAATCTCTTCTTTTCAGTGCGTATCGTGCTACCTTTTGAATTTATATAGTAAATATTTGGATCTTGGTTTCAAACGCATCGTTAAGTCTCATTATGTTTTCCTTATTATCGTCGTTAAACCTCATTATGCACTTAATGGGGGGCATTCAGTGCAGAACAAATAGGGATAGATTTAAGAATAGCGTTAGCTGAGATTTTTCTTGGATGTCAAGCCAAGAAAGAAAGGCTAAAGGATACAGTTTAACTATTCCAAAATTTCAGTTCTGATATTTTTCATAATTACTGACAGCTCATATGTTTGAAACATAATGCTTAGGGATTCATTTTACTGAAAACCTTCACTATGGGGTATTTAAAAATTGTGTATGTATTCATTTTTGTTTTAATTTGAAAGCATAAAAATTATTTAAAAAACAGTTTTGCTGGAAAATATGCACTTTAGTATATGTCGAATGCATTTTTATAAAAGACTTCCTTTGTTCTTTAAATAATCCCTGTTTTTAATCCCTTTCTCATTATCATGTTTTCCCCTTGCACATATATTACTTTTATTTTGGTTTTAAACTATATCATCATAGCTGCATACGTAAAATGAATATAGGCTTTCTTTTCCTTCTTCTTCTCGTCTCTCCCCCCCCCCTTTTTTAACTTTGCATAGGGGGCCTATTAATCTGTGGTCTCCCATGGTCAAGCGAATGAATTCTTTCATAACATTAATATGTGTATGTAATTGTTTTAAAGTATGTTTCTAATACTTACGCTTAAATAATCCATTTGTAGTGTAAAAATTAGGAAGTAAAAATATAAACCTAAGTCTGAAAGATGTGACCTATAATCTGCAAAATCCATTAACCTTTTTTTCCCACAGTATGCAAATTAAATCAGTTCCACTATTTATTAAAATTGTTTTTCAGAAAACACACCCACATTAAAATAAAAATAACACATTAAAATAAAAATTTTCATTTTCCTCTTTTTGAATGTCTTGATTTTGAAACTTTTAAGCACAGTAAATGTCACAAAGCAGTCTTTGATTAGTATTATAATTTTTTTCGCCTACATACATCATCACTAAATTTTGTAAAATTAAAAATAAATTGAAATGTCTCCAATAGTAAGAACAAATTTGCTATTTGAAGTTTAGGGATCTGTCATTTAATCTTATTTATTTCATGAAAATAAATAAAATAAATTTTTTCTAAACACAATCATATATTTTGTAACAGGATGTCCGTTGCACTCTTTGTGTTAGGTTATTATTTGATGAGGCAGAATACCCTCTGGAGGTGATTTACTGTAACTAAATTGATCCCTCCAAAATTGCAAGAAAGGCAGATAGCCCTTGAGTGCTTTGCCGTAATCTTAATAAACCACTTGATGTCAGTATGTAAATGCATCAGTAAAATTTGCTATTTATAAAATTAAATATCTAATAATTAAAACAACTTTTCCTCTTATTTGTAGGTCTTCAAATTTTGTATCAGTTGTTGCAAAATATTAGCCAGGAAGAAGCAGCTGCTCAGAGTTTCTACCAAACATACTATACTGACATTCTGCAGCATCTTTTTTCAGTTGTCACTGATACATCACATACAGCAGGTATTTTGATTTTTATTGCTTATTGTGATGTTTCATGTTTAATTAATTAAAAATGTTACGACCTTTTTTTAATTTTTTTTTATTGTTTAGTTAGCCCATATCTCCTAGGATAGGAAAGTGTTTCTATTCTTTATACCTGTTACACATGTTAAGTAATATTAAATGATTATATTTTGATCTTGAGAAACTTCCCAATATTTGGTACAACTGGATTAATAAATAAGTAGAATTCTCAACAGTGATGTGCCTTTTGGTTCATATGCCATCAGATTATTACAAAATACTGAAAATCAGGATTTTCTGCTACCGACTCCAAATAATAACCAGATCACCTCCAAATTATTACACAGGCTCAAATACTATTAATATATCACCTTCTTAAATATAATTTAAAGTGATTTTGGCACATTCTTTACCTTGCAAAATTTTATTTCTCTTGTTTGTGTTTAGAATGATGCTATGAGCAGATATTCATAAAGCAATGTGAGGGATGTTCTCCACAAAATACTAACTGAAAACTTCAGAAATTGAGGCCAGTATTTTGTGAATAGAATGAAAGCTTTTCTTATTAATTGTAGATATTTTTTATCATCTTTCAAGGGTATGGAATCCTAATGAATCCAGCTAATGTAGTTCATGGATCCAGTTTGTAATTAATAATAATAGAAATGAAGATCTGTGTTTATTGTTTTAAAATTGCAGTTTTTTTTATTAATAACAGGAAAAAATTGAAATTAAAATTAATTGTGTTATGATTTGCTGAATGCTAGCACAGTGGCAACACATCTATTTTCAGTTGCAGACTTTGATTAAATTTGTATTGTGTTTTGCTGAGTGGCTGCATTTCTTTTATATTACTGAGTTTTCTTATTAAATTTCTGTATAAGTGTTTTACGCTTTGCCGAGTGGCAGTACATTTCTTTCAAGTCTATGAGTTTTAATGAAAAACTCGTTAAATTCATGCAAAATATAAAATTAATTGAATAAAAAATCAAATTTTCAAAATTTGAGGTGCACATGTTCAGGTGAAGGACTCTGTGTTCAAAATTTGGTGGCTCCCCTTCTGCAATGTGAAGAACATGCATACATTCTGTTCTTGATTTAGTAATAGAGCATTATTGAATGTGGAATATCTGCTGATTTGCAGTAATCTGTAAATCATATGATGGAATTAAAATTTACTTCAGAATTTATTTAAGAGTAAATTTTTCCTACTGTTATTACTATTTCTACTATTATATATTTTTTGGTATTGTATATGAAGCAAGCAAAGTTTTTGATTTTGTTAGTTCTTGAGTTCATTAAAAATTATATGTAACAAATTATGTCCCTTTTCAAAAGATAATAAAATAGAGATTTTTTTTTAAGTCACGGTGATGTGACATTACTTATTATATGAAGGAAATTTATTTTTTCTTAAATCATTGTTGAATAATGGTTATTAACCTATTTACGAATAAAGTTTCTGTCTAACCACTATTAAAAGAATGTTGTATCTTGTTTTTGAAGGATCTTGCGTACACCAAATAGTAAGTTTAGATTTTTGATTTAATGACAATATCAATATTTGTTTTTACAGGGCTGACTATGCAAGCCACCATTCTGGCCTACATGTTCAGCATTGTCGAAAGTGGCAAGATTACGTTGCCATTAAATCCCACAGAACAGGCTGCAGGTGTACCAAACATTGTGTACATTCAGGAATTCGTGGCAAGATTGTTAAAAACAGCATTTGCACATTTATCTGAGTAATTATTTTATACTTATTATTTCAAAAAAAAATTTGTTTGCAATTTGAGTGTCTGTATAAGAAATATATATGAAAGGAAACAAACATTTCCTTTTCCTTCAAAATTTGCAGTCCCTCATAAAATCTGAAGTACAATATTTAATCACATGGAAATATTTTCTGTAAATATAGGCCAAAGTTAATATCATTGGGAAATCATAGTGAAACATTGTAGAAGTAATTTCCTTTAAACTTGATAACATTTTTAAAGAAACTTCTGAATTGGATGCAATGTATGAAAATGTGCTTTCAGTCTTCATATTTATGCCTTACCTCCATACCATGAATATTATATCTATTATTACGAACTTTATTGTATCTACCTAAGAACGTTACCATCACCAAATGTAACAATATGCAGCTCTTTATATCCAAATGTATAACATCTGTGTCACTTTGTTTAATCCTCAATAAATACAGAAAGGTAGTACACCAGGGCAATACCATTTTTGCTCATAGTGATGATATGGTGCCCCCTTTACTTGTTCCTGCCCTGTCCTGAATTGGATGCACTCTTTTTATAGCAATTATTGGGTCATTTATGCATAGCTACAGTTTAATCTCGCCAGTCCTGACCATGAGCCCAACACATGCACCATTTGAACCAGTTTGTCGTATATATTTATGTATTGGTAAAAATATGAGCGTTTTCTAAAGCTTAATTTTGTTATATATGCATAATTAGTTATTTTATAAAGTGCAAGAAATAACTATTATTTTGTTACTCGATTTAACTACTATATTTTGTTGTATAATTGAGTGTAATTATTATACAGTACAAAGTCCGTAATCCGGACTCGTCGGGACTTCGGCGATTCTGGATAAGGGTTTTTCCCGCATTATGGTTCATCAATTTAAATCTGGCAAGATGGCATACAGAAATTATACAATTAAAAATATGAAACTGTAATTCATGAAATAAAGAGCAATTGTGATCTAAAGGGAATCAAAATTTACAAAAAAAAAAAAAAAAAAAAAAAAAAGCTTAATATTTATTTGTGTACTTTAAATTAAACATTTCTTTCGATGTAAGTTGTTTAAGTTGCTCCCCCCCCTTTTTTTTTTTTTTTTTTTGTGTGTGTGTGTGTGTGTGCTAATACTTTCTCTTTAATTCTATAAATGGATATAATTTCTTGTTCAGTTTCTTAGTTGTTTTAGCTGAAATGTGTATATTGAACTGACATGGTTGAAGTGGGAAGAGAAACAAAATGTATTTTAAAAAAAAAAGGAACAAGAATAATTCTTCCATAAAAGTTCACAGTATTGGCAAGTGCCACATTAAATGAACTAAGAGCTGGGGAAACCCACCTCAAATTGAGTAGAAACATTGTAACCCCCCTTTTTTTTAACTACAGAAAGAAAATTTTGCTAAAAATATAATTGTGTTATTTTTAGGGATCATATTTTAAGAGTAAAAAATGAAATAAGCACTGTTCACATAAAATTGTCATGAAAAAAATTTTCAACTTTTTTGGTTTCTATCATTCATTGCACATTAGTTCGAATGCGGCCCGGCCAATATATCGGCAAATAATAATATGTAATAATAAAATAACATATCGACGAAGAAAAAATGAAATGTTTACTGCTAAGTAATTAACGATAATTTATTCAGTGTTGTTAGATTACTCACAGCGAGCTGACACACACACTACTTAAATTACAAATGCGTGTGAGTAGCTTGCGTTCAGCTACCTTCGACTTTTGGGGGACACGTGCACTCAGAACTTGTACGCATCCCCCGATAGCCGAATGTGGCCGAACTCATGGTCTCAGTTTTCCAATCATAGTTTTGTACGATATATTGGTGCATGCATGTGCATGCACTTTGCTTTATTATTAATTATTACTTAATTCATATTGTTACGGATTTCATAGTTATTTATTTATTTAGAATTGTAATTAGATTTGCTTCATGTTAGCTTAGCAACGCAGACAATTTTTGAAAAGACAGCTGCGTTGGAAGGTTAAAAATAGAACAGCACGTGCATTTAATACCTAATAAATAAATATCTCGTAATTGCTGTTGCCATCCACAAAAATCCAGATATTTATAGATGTTTCCAGTATATTCAAGAAATTAATTATAAAGCTTATAAAAGCCGAGAACAAACAACTCATCTCAGTAGTAGCTGTAGTTCTAGCGAACTGTTGTTTACTTAATGCTGCGATTGATTTGTAGCGATTTCGCTGTGAGATGGAATTAGTTTCTCTGTTTTGAATTGATTTTTGCTAAACGTTTGACATTTTGTGATATTGTTAGAATATTTTTTGAAGAAATATTTCAGCATTTTGATTTATCTCTTGTGGAAAGAATAAATTTTTGTTAACTTTTTAACGTTAACCGTGTTTATTATAGCCCTTTGTATTCAGTATGTCTATATCAAAACCAAGTGGTAGTAAAATTAAACGAAAAATCGCTGACAAACATAGAATATTCCAAGTAAAATGGAAATTAGAATATTTTTGCTGTGAAATAAAAGGTAAAATAATCTGCTTGATATGTAATAATACTATTAATGTACCAAAGTTATATAATATTAAACGTCATTACGAAGAACACAAATCGAAATATAACAATTACGAAGGATTAATGAGAGAAAAGTTGAAAGAGCTCAAGTTAGGAGTGAAAAAGCAACAGTCCATGTTTAGTAAAGTATTGCAAGAAAGTGAAGCGGCGGTACATGCAAGCTACGCCTTGTCCGAGTTGATAGCTAAACATTCGAAGCCTTTTATGACAGTGATTTCATCAAGGAATACCTAATAAAAGCTTTAGAAATTGTTTGTCCTGGAAATGTGAAGGCTTTTTAATCAATTTCATTGTCTCGAAATACAGTTGCGGAAAGAGTTACTGATTTAGCTGTGAATTTAAGTGATCAGATCAAAGCAAAATCATCTAGTTTCGAAAGTTTCTCCATTGCCTGTGACGAGAGCACGGACATTAGTGGCAAAGCTCAATTAGCAGTGTTTCTTCGTTCTTGTGACAAGAATTTTAACATTTTTGAGGAATTACTGGAACTAATACCGATGCCTGGTACTACCACAGGAGAAATACATATATTTACTTGTGTTTTTGAACTTCTGCAGAAATACAATCTACCTTTGGCAAAATTAAATTCTCTAGCTACAGATGGCGCTCCATCGGTGACCGGGAAAAACAAGGGCTCCATAGCATTACTAAGAAAAAAAACTTAGTGAAATTCACAGTTCAAACATTCATCATATGCATTGTATTATACATCAAGAAGTTCTATGCGCGAAAGTAATAAATATGGAGAATGTTTTGTCATATATAAAAAAAGTTATAAATTTTATAAGATCTCGAGGTTTAAATCAGCGTCAATTCACTGCTTTCTTAAGTGAGTTAGATAGTGAATATTCGGGTTTTTCCTAATATACTGAGGTACGTTGGTTATCTTGCTCCAAGATTCTCAAACAATTCTGGGATTTGAAAGAAGAAATACCGTATTTATGCGAATCTAATGCACATCCCCATTTTAAAACTTTAAATAATAAAAAAAATTGTTTGTCGGCGAATGTAATGCGCATCAATGATATGAGGAATTTATTGAATCTTATTTTATACAACAATGGATTTGTATATAAACTATCAATTAATGGTATGATAATTTTATTTAAATTTTAGATACCATATTTTATACAACAATGGATTTATACATAAAGTAGTAGAACATAGAATTAACCTATTAGTGAGCAATTGTTATGTGAAACAATCATTGTTAATTACCACTACCGTATATACGGTATCTATCGTAAAATATGAAGATGAAATAAAACGTAACATTTCTATCTAGCTAACAGTTTCTACAATTAGTGATTAATAGTAAACGTTCACTTTATTCACTGTTTTCATCACTGGAATCCTCGTAGCTCTTTTCATCAGCCGCAGATTCATTTCTTCTTTCCTCATCATCATCATCGTCATGCAACATTTCTTGAAAGATTTCACAATCTTTGGTGCTTCAATGCTTTTCCAGGCAGCAGAAACTCAGTGCAACAATGTGCGTTGCAGCACGCTTAACTTTTCCTGTCTGGGTTAATTCACGGTCATCGGCGAACTTTGCACTCGAATCTAATGCGCACCCCAATTTTGAATACTACATTTGGCCAAAAACGATTCGCGTAAATACGGTATGTCAGTTTTTAAAAACGAAAAATGCCGTAAGTTTGTTTTACGATCCAATATGGATACAAGATTTATCTTTCTTGGTTGATATAACCAAACACTTAACCGATTTAAATTTATCGTTACAAGGAAAAAATCATATCATTACGAACATGTTTGACATAATTAAAGCATTCAAATGTCAACTAGTTCTTTGGGAAAAACAACTTAAAAATGAAGATTTGACGCACTTCCCGACGTGCAGCATGAACAAATCAAGTTTAGATGATACTTGTTCGTATCAAAAATACGCAGAAAAAATTGCAAATTTAACAACTGAATTTGAAACGAGGTTTAATGATTTTAGTTCCCTCGAAGACTCCCCCCCATACCTGAATTTTACAAATATTTACCAGCCAGGTTTGAAAATACTCGAAAATTCGCATATGAAATTATTTCCATGTTTTTTAGCGCTTATCGGTGCGAGTAGTTATTTTCAGTCATGAAAGGTAATAAGTCTCCTATTAGAAACCGTATTAATGATGCTCACCTTGGGTCAGCGTTGAAAGTTATCACTGCAAAATTTCTCCCGAAATAGGAAAGATAATAGCAGAGAAGAGATGTCAAGTATCAGGACGTAAACATTAAATTTTTCTTGTTCTTTTCTATATAAATATATGTATGTTTATTATTGTATTATTCAAAGTAAATCTACGTCTCTATAAATATTGTTTTTTTTTTTTTTTTTTTTTTTTTTTTTTTTTTTTTTTGCGACCCGTTTAAAGTTAAACCTTGTTTGTTTGGCCCAAGTGTACCTATGAGTTTGACATCCCTGCTGTAATGCATAATTAACATCCATTCTGGACAATCCAAAGTTCTTTGGCAGAATGCCAAGTATGGTTGTGTTGGACACAGTCGAATTATACTTATTGAAGACAGTGAACTAACTGTATATGTAAAGCTTTAAGAGATGTTACGACTTAAAAGTCATGCCAGTTTTCTTCCAGTACTGCTATATCGGAGCCCTAGTTTAAAAGCATATTTCCCCCCTTCTTTTCTATAGTAGGTGGTTATATATAAGTGGTTTTCAGAATAAACTCTGCTTCACTCCTATATAAAAGTATATTACTAATGCTAAAATACAGGGTTTCCATAATTAAACTTGAAATTTACGAGCAGTCTGTAGCAAAAGCTATGCAGCAGAATTGGATGAAAATTGGGTAATGGCAGAATGAAATAATGGGAATTTTATCGAAAAAATGAGTTTCAAAAGCCACCACTAGATGGCATTGTGTAGTGCAAACTATTGCATATGCAAATGTCGTAACCATAGTAATCCTGTGCGCGCACAGCAACACTATAAAGATGTGAGGCGAATCACAGTCGTACTTGTTTTTAAGTCAAGGAAGATGACGTTGATTCTCCAGGAACGTGCTTTACTTCTGAAATTGTTTTACCAAAATGTAGCTCTGCTGCCGAAGCTTTGCGGAAATTTTGGTCTTTGAAGCGGTTACAAAAAGGTCTGCTCACTAGTCATGGACAAATCTGCTTGTATTCACCCTTAGAAGAACATAATTAGGAAATCTCAAGCAATGGGGACATAGGGGATTCAGCCAGGAAGGGGATGAAAGTGTGTTGCAGCACAGGTAGTGGATGATGTAGCAACGCAAGTGGAGGAAGACAGATCACAAACGATTGCCAGTACTAGTATTTGGCGTATTACAGCATCTATTGACCAATCTTGTTCCATGGTTCATAAGATTTAAGATCATAACGCTATTATCCCTATAAACTGTCGCTAGTGCAGCAGCTCTTACCAGCTGATCTAGATAGTCAACAAACTTTTGCCTTGCGGTTTCTTGCGCAAGTTGAGCTCCAGGATAAATGGCCATGGAACATTTTGTGGACCGGTGAGACCCTTTTTCAAATGGAAGGTGTAGTAAACATGCACAATTGCTATATTTGGGCTGCTACAAAACCACATCAAATCCTACAAATTGCATTACACTCTTCGCATGTAACTAACTGCTAGCAAATTTCAAGTTTAATTACAGACACCCTGTATATTCTTGTGTATCTAATAATATGAAGTTTGCATAAATTTTAAGCATTTTATTAATAACTGTACAGTTGTTCTTCAGCTTAAGAATTGTAGTACATATGATCAGACATGACTAGAGAAAGTAAAGTTATATTAAAGAAAGAAGCAACATTAATGATAACAGTTTATACGGAAAGAATATTTTTTGGGGGTATTCCATTAGTTTTTTAGATCTTTTCTTAAAGTAAACAATGAGTATGCTTTGTTCACTTAAAATCCCTATATTGTTACGAAAAAAATTTCAACATTTTTTGCTTTTGGCATTGTTTATTAATAAGAATCTTCACGTTTATTTATGGGACTATAATGAAATAAAGGCATGAAAGAGAACTGATAACAGGATCATCCCATTATATGGACTTCCACCTTTCGGGAGTAAATTCCCTATTTTCTGAAAAGAGCGAACTCTCATGCGACCTCCTTACCCAGTGATCTTTTTATTTGTAATTAATATTCTTTTTGGACGATTCTAGTGTTTTGGCAGGATGCATATAATATGGTTAAAGTATAACTCTTCCCCCCCCCCTTTCCTAAGAAATGCTACCAAGGCAAATTTTCTCCGGCAAAGATAACAAATTAAAAAATATCAAGAATTCAGTGATGAACAATGGAGTAATACAATACATTAGCTTTCTAGGACAAGATTATCTGAATAATTACCTTATAGTGCCTCACAATGATGTAACTTTGGCTCAGTTCATATGGCACCGAGAAAGAAAGTTTCACTATATGAATCATCCACTGCATATATATTGTGAGCCGTAGTTTACTATTTTAATTTAGCATTATTTCACTATGTTCAGCATTAAACAGAAGTGAGTCTAGATTGTTAGTCTGTTCTGGCAGATGAGACTTGTTGTAATATTAAGTTAGAAAATTGTACAGCAGCGGGGGAGGTACTTCATTTAAGTTTTCGAAATAATTACTTTTTAAGAAGTTTACGTGTAATTAGTTGTGTGAATAATATGTTATTTTATATTGCTAGAGGTATCATTTGTTACAAATTTGTTTACAGAAGATTATTGTTATTTAGATTTTACAAAGAATTGTTTAATGTATTGTGAGAATTAGGGGAAAATATTAAAAATCAGAAGCTGGATACTCATTGCAGAACATTGCAGGATGGAAATTTCTTAGGGGAAAATGAATGGTGGCGCCCAGTATTGTTTTGCCAGATTTTCTAGGTCTTATTATGGTTTGTTCCCCAAAGTGGTAAAATGGGGCTCTATTGAAGCTATTAAACTCTCATGCTGACATTGAAGACCAAAACGGACTTGCAGATATCTATTAAGTGCTGTATTCATTAAAAAAAAAAGTTAAAGTTAAAAAAAAAAATTGTGGAAATATAGCAATAAAATTAATATTATATGAAATAAAATAAATAAGGGGAATTTTAAAAATGTTTAGTTTCTTTTTTTTAACACACCATTTTTTTACTAGGTATTAAATTTTAATACCTAGTAATAAGATGTTATTCCAAAAATGTGCAACCTGTTATGCAATAATGATGATTGTTTCATCAAAATACACACTGAAAAATATTTTACTTTCCAATTCTTTAGTTTTTAATTATAAATTTGATATGCTTTTTTAAAATGGGTATTAAATTGTAACTGGAAATGTGCTTTAGAATATTAAGAGTATTTTAATTGTAAAATGATTCAGAATTTCTAAAAATCCAAAAAATATTTTTAGTCAGTGTTTAATAAATATAAATCTTTTATAAAATAAATCTATTAATGTGCAATTTTATGCTTTAATTTCAGCGCTCAGATAAAAATTACAGTTCAAGGGTTCTTTAATTTGGATCAAGATATTCCTGCATTTAAAGAGCATTTAAGAGACTTCTTAGTGCAGATTCGTGTAAGTGAATTATTTTGTGTATGTGTAAATTTAGATGTAAATATTGCAACCTAGTTTTTATTCTGTCAACTTCTTGATAACATACCATTTTATTACTTTTTTTAAAATGCCTTAGTATTCTTCTAGAGCAACGTGAGATTCTTTCATTTCATTATGTGTAGTATAGTATAATCAAATTTCGTATTGAAGAAATAAATAAATGGGATCTTGGAATTGAACAATTCAAAAAGCTATAACAGTTTTAACTATACATATTTCTCTATGCAGTTTTTATTTAGCGAATATCAAATTAAAGTGGTAACAAGGTCATTCTGATATGCCTCTAGATTTAGTTGTAAATAAGTTTGCATTATTCTCCTATATTTAGAGGCTTCAGAGCTATGTTACTTTAAACTTTTTCTCTGTAATTTTTCCTCCTCTTGTATTGAAAAAATCGGGAGATTCTTGGTTTTCTGTAATATTTCCCATTTTCCAAATAATCAAATCTTCCAGTTTTTGCTTTTTAGCCTGCACTTTTATGAGAATGTTTTCTAGTGATAAAAAATGAAATTTATTGAACTAATGAAACTCAAATTGTGAAAATCTCATTCCCTCACCCCTAGTGGTTTTCAGCATTAATTTTCTTATTAAATTTTTTTTATCTGAATCGTTCGAATCTATTGTATCGCCTTTTTGCAATTTCATATGAAGATTCGACTGATGTTTAATGAATTAATATTTACATTTAATTTTGTTTAATATTCATCTTGTTTAAAAGTATTTGATAAAAATTAAAGCTTTCTTTCCGACTCAGGTTTTCCTCAGTTTAAAAGTGTAAGAAAATTACAAAATGAACCAAGAACATAAAAGTTTAGAAATCTAATTAAGTATTGATGCATTATACATCAGAGTTGTATTATGAGAAGTGAAATAACGTGAATAATGCATTTTAAAGCAAAGTTAAGTCTAAATTATAGTTCTTTTGAAGTGACATCATGCAACTTAAAATCCTCCCGAAAACTCTTGATTTCTCATATTTCAAGACTTTATACAAAGTATAATACAGTTGCCTTTTTCTTTATGTGAAAATTTTTTAAAAATTATTCTGAACACAGTTTAAAACTTTGTCACAAGTTTGCTGTTATAGTTCACTTGTGTTTCAACAGTCTTTAAGATTAGTTTTAGAAAATTTGCTTATAACAAAATTGGAAGTGAAAAAGAAATACTATGAAAATAATTTTGATGACAAATTTTAAAAAAATGTTAGTAAAGTAACCTTGAACTTTAAAGTAACTTGTTCATTGTGAAATTTAAATTGCACTATTTGTATTTCTGTCGAAATGATTTTTTTTTTTTTTTATCTGAATTAATCTGTTATAAAGATTTATTTGTAGAGCTTATTATGAAAACTTTTAATATTTAATTTTCATATAAATGTGTGAATGATGCTTTCACAAGATTGTATCCACACATTATTGATAATTATAGCTTCTTGTTTGAAGGGAAAATTACAAATTCGAATGAAATTAATTTCCCCCTCCAGAAAGGACTTTAAAGAATTTTTTTTTTAAGTTTTAAATAAAAATTCTTAAAAGTATAATAAATTAACCTTGCATCAAGATCATTTGTAAGTAGTCTAATAATCCAGATCATACATTTTATTCTTGCATCTAAAATATTCACAAAAATTATTTCTAGAGCAATTTTTTTCTAAAAATTTTAAAATTGATTTCCTATTTACCTCTAAAATAACAACTGCAAAAATTCATACGTTTTCTTCAGTGTTCTTGATGTCCATGGAATGTCAGTCTGTGTCGCAAATAGCTTCCATTAATGGACAAATGTTAGCATATTTATATCACAAGGCCTTAGTCCTTTATCTAATTTATAAATTTATTTGTTACCTTTATAAATTTTATTTGCTACCTTTTTCTTTGGCAAAACTTTATAGAAACTATGGCTTACCCCTTTTCCCGTCAGTAGTAAAACCAAAGTTACATTTGAATTAAATTTTTAGGTTTAAAAATTTTGTCCAATATGTCCAGTATGTACAGTACATTTGTCAGTGAGTAATGTAAAGCTTTTCTTTGCTGTTATTTTGTATCCAAATTTTCCATCTTGAAATTCTACGACCTTTTGTATTTGCCTTATGAAGTTACGCAAACACATTTGAGTCCTGGTGCAGGAAGCACGAGAGGTAGGAAGGAAAATGTCTGAGGGAAGTGGACATGTTTCAAACCATACTAAATTTCGCTGGTGTAACATTATATTGTAGAATGCATTTCACATATATCTTTGTTTTTCCCTGTAATTTTAAATTA